TTCTGCTTTCATTGCATACGAGTCACATTATGTCCACTCTCATTGCTTTTATACAACGTTTTACTAATTACATTCGTAACTTAACAATTGTAATGTTTGCACGTAATATATTTGCAATGTACATTTTTAGCAGTCCTTGAATTGGATGTAAATGGAACGCGGTACACAAATAATCCTTGGATATTTTCAAAGCTGTCATGTTAAAATATCGTAACGCTGTTAACAGTGTTATTGCGGAATATAAATATGAAAACTGTCTTGTTATACGTATGTAAATGCGATATTACCAATACACAGGAATAAATTTTGAAGAATGTAAGAAAATTTATTTTAAAAATAGAATGAATAGAAAATAGGATTCAGTCCTTCTCGTCTACTTTCATTTTTTTGCATATGATAGTATGTATAAAAAATCCAGTGAGCACCAATTAGCTCGGACTTACATTATGCTAGATAAGTGTAACATATGAACAAAGTGACGTGCTCGTCGACGTATCATTAATCAAAGTTGAAAGCAGGTATTATAGATACCTTCCGGTAAAGGGTTTAAATTATCGAACTTTCTAGGAAAGCGGAATACACCGCTATGGTATCGACATATTGATCGATCGGGTAACTCTCAAGAAATAAATACCTTAAATGAAGTCACGAGATTATAAAACAAGCTTTCGATTAACCTTTGAAGGTGTTTGACGGCTATCGTTCCAACGTATAAACTACCCGTTATTTTGTTTAAAGGGAAACTTCGTTCAATGCTGAGCACAGTTTAAAAGAAGCAAAAAATTGCTACTTTAAAAATGCTTCCCTTTTTCTCAAAGGAGTAAGCCTATTTGGAAGAATCAAAAGAACTTGCACCTTTGAGAATTCTTTTAAACCTACCCCTTTGGAAAAAATTTAGCAAACATTAGGAGATGATTGTATCTTTTCAGAGTGAATTTCTACAGAAATGAAATGATCCTTGTTACCATTCCACAAAATTTTATTAAATTTAGGATTTTTGGGTTAGAAGTCTATTCTTAAGTGTGTAAACTATTTTGAATGTGAAAAGTAACGAATAGAAAAGTTGAAAGTTGAAAATTAACTAATTTTAAGCTTAGTAATTAGAACTCAATATGACTTGTAAGGAGACACCTATTTCCACTGCAGCAGTCAACGTGTTAACAGTCGAAAACAACGAAGAAGTGTTATAGAAAATAAAAAGCAACCGTTTAGAGAGAAGTTTAATAGCATAAAGGTTTATCGTTTTTAACGTTTCGCCGTGTAAAGCATTCTGTCGCCTCGCCACCTTGGTTGCTTCCCTCCGTACGCGGCAATCGACTGTTGCCCGAACTAGTCGAGGCAATAAGACGAGAGAACACCACCTGTTTCCAAGTGTTATGAAACCTCCGGCCAGTAGCACCGTCTTTCACAACGACAACTTGCCACGTAGATATACACTGTAACCCTTTCATACATGTTCAGATCTTTGCTACAAGCCCTCGGCTCCAAGTCCGTTAACACCAACTTCTAACCCATCAACACCATTACTACCTAAGGTTACTCTTTACGGTCCGCGAGATTTTGTCGCCAGATATTGCAGATGACGCTTAATCAGATACCCCTTTTGTTCGCCGTTCTCCTGAGAGAGGTTTTCCCTCGAACGGTCTGTTTTTTCGATTAATAACATCGTTCACAACGCCTGGTCTGACGGAATTGTTTTTTTTTTGACCCATAATGGAGGTTTTATTTAATCGCGAAACATTGTGATAGTGATTATTAAAATTGTACATTACGGCTGCATTATCGCGAAATGAAATGCGAAATATTCGCATCCGATGCGATATTCCCGCGCTCTTCGATTGGCTTGTTTTTCCAACATAAATTATTCAATCTTTTTGACCGTACATAATGCATAGGAACAGAGTCCGGAATTATTCGAGCAAAAATTACGAAGGATACGAAGTTATTTGCGGATGATCAATCATTTGCTATTCGGGTAATTTTGAAATAATTATTTACTCGAGAAACAATTAATTATAGATAAGTTATTATTTCAAAATTATTTAAATAATAAATTATTCGTTATTTGTAAATATTTTCGTATCCAAAGCACAGCAATGCATCATCAGCAAATAATTTTATCATATTTTTTGAAATAGCATTTCAATCTAAATACGATTATATCTCGAAAAGCTAAATCATAATAGAATTCAATTCTGAAAGAATTTTTCTGTTCACATGCTACATAGAACAGGGACGAGGACCAGAGCAATTGCTCGAATCAGTGTGATACGTTGTAACTCAGCCACGAGTAACCGAGCAATCTCTCCCAGCAACGTGATATGTACGTTGTAACCTAACAAATCAGGGCAACAACACGACACGTCGGTTTAAGCCACCGCAGATACCTCAATATTTCTGCAAATGTTTAAATCTGTAATTGGCAGACCGTGGAAATCCTCATGCAAAAATATTGCTTTTATATCAAATATTTTCTCCATCCATAGAAAGTATTACCCTAAATTTTACTAATTTATATTGTAAGGTTCTTTGATGATGACATACATGAAATTAGCATATCTTTAGGTATTATGAAAAATAGTAATTAATATAAATAGCATACCAATTATAAATTTACACATTTGACATTTTATACCTATGCGGTCAAGTAATAAATGACACTAAAAAAGCTCCCAAGATATTCCATCAGAATTAATTAAGTTCTTATTGCAATTTTTCAAATACTGTTTGTCTTTTACCATAATAGTTAAGAATTAAATAGCCCACCCCCCCATTATTTATTTAAGATACAATGTATTCCATTGTTCTACGTGATTGCTTTGATATCCATTCCAATTCTCCAATAAAAATTCACCGTTTTAATATAAATTCCATTTTCATCAAAACGTCCATAAAAAAGGTTACATATCAATTTTGTAGAAACAATGTTTATAGCCGAGAATATGAATAAATTCATGCTTCGCTCGCAAAACGAACATTGTGTGTACAGCTGAAAAATTCAACAGGAGAAGATTTTCAAAGATTACAGTACCGTATTCCTGTATACACTCGGTCGTTCATGAATATTAACGATCGTGCCTTCTTTAGTTACCGTTACACGGCACGGTAAAGGGATGAAGTGGTGGCAAACAATAAGGCGAGCGGAAAATCGAACAACTCAAAGTTGAATCGTTAGACGAAAGGGCGTAATTCGACTCGTTACATTTCCATGTATGTATTTGCTCTAACAGGGAATTATCTGTCGATTCTAACCGTGTAAGTTACCGCAGTGCCGATGCGGTTTCACCGGTAATATTCTGACCCGTATGAACTAACGTAATACCTGGTCGAACAAAGCGAACCCGCTAGTTGGATGGAGAAACTTAATCTTCAATGTACGCGGACTGAAACGTAATGAATGCGAGTAATAGAGAAGTGGGAAAAGGTACCATTCGATGCTCTCTTATCGTCGACGTTTATCGTGGCTACTTGTAAATGACGCCTGTATTGTATAAACCATTACCATATTTTTCGAATCAATGCGCCTCGGGGAATTATTTCAACTTGATATTCAGTTCTGCGATTTGAAAGATTTGATTATTAATACTTCGTTCGTCGCAGTGAAAATAGACGTTCGTAAGAAATAGTTCATTTTTAAAATTCTTATAAATTAAATAATTAAATAACTCAAAAGAAAATGTATTAAATAATGGATACATGTGACATATATTGTCCCACCAGGGTCGAAAGGGTTAAAATATTTGATGATAGAAATAATTAATATGCAAGAATAATTTCTTTCCTCTTTTTCTATTGATGAAATTATAAAACTTGTTCGACAATTGAACGTTCATTTCCGGTCAATCGAATGATATAAAAAGTTGGTAACTTATCGGTCCATCTAATCGAGAAAGAAAGAGGACGAACGAAAGAATACGAATAACCAACTTTCATTGCAATTTCCTGAACTCACGAAAGGCACAAGTACGAGATTGTAAGCCATTTGAATTTCCCATCGTTCTAAAAGCGTATCAGAATTTCCTTTTCAATTTCCAAACATTTTGATTCGATGAATATTAATTTTTTCGGATTTTCTGCTGGAAATATCGATAACGGTACATCGTTTTCTACCAGGCTCTCGCATCCATTCCGTCCCAATTTCACTTTCACGAAAACTGAGCGGTTGCGATTTTTAAATTCACCCGTTTTGCGTTTCCGGTGTCGGTTAATCGCGGTGAACGCCGAGTTTGCGGTGCAAACTTTATTTCACGCCCAGCAACCATTACTATCCCCCATCCTGACCCCTTCGTTCCATCCCTTCCTTCCGTTATATCCCTTTCCCAAGCGTGTTCACTGAAAAATTGTACCTAGTAGATTACGCCTGTAGGGGTGTCAAACAACGGTGCGACTAGTTTTCAATTTTTATCGATTTTTTATTTGACTTTTTTCAACTGTTATTAGAGTATAAGCGCTGTAATTCGATCATTTGGTTTTTTGATCCATTTTCTTCAGCTTAAATTCTGATTCAATGTTTTCTTTTTTAGAGATACATTTTGTAACCTGTAGAGGATGGAAAGTTGATTTTGATACTTCAAGTTGTTTTTACTCTTTTAAAGGGTTTCAACCCTTTCGGCTAAAACCGAAATAAAAATAAAAGAACTTTGTTAACACGATTTGTTTTCGAGTTTGTCTATTGTTTTTATTTTTAGGTTTCAAAGGGGTAGCTTTGTTTTTTACAATATACCACTGTACCACACATAAAATTTCCATTCTCTAAAGGTTAACAACAGATTGATTTGAACTGTATAGTTTAAGATACCAAATCTTAAAAAAAGAAAGAAAAAACAGAATTATTATTCCATGAGTTTGACACTCTAAAAATATCCTCTTCCCTTGTGGATATTTGTTACTCCCTTAGATCGTATTATAATACCCATGAGTAACAATGATTTGAAATTCACATAGCTATTTCTTTTCGTTCTTCTATGATTTCTTATGATTTATATATATTTTTGTTACAGGGGGCCCGCGGACATTTTCTGCTAGGCCTTACCGAGGAGGTTGGTTCGTTTGTTTGGTTTGCAATTAGGATTAGTCAGTAGAATTTTTCTCTCTAAAATGAACGCCGATTTCCTCTTCCTTCATCTATCACCTATATCATTTCGCTTTCACGTACGTTTCTATACCTCTATATATCTAAATCTATGTTTATATCTATGTGTATGTTTGTACGTGTACACGAATACGATTCTTCCCTATACTTTGTATCTTTCTGTGTCTACTTTTCATTTTTCCTATCTCTTTCCCACCAGCTCTTGTTTTCTCGTTCGTCATCCGATCATGCATATCATCAAGCATAACTTATCTGTTATACATTTTTACTTGGCGTATATACGTTGATACGCTTTCTGTTTGTGTCTGTGTAATTAGTTTTAATATGTATCGACGTGTGCATACTAAATGTACCAAATATTTTCACGAAATGTAGCGTGTGTAATAAAAAAAAAAAAGATTCAAATGCAATATTTTGAATGTAGAGTCATTTTGTAATAAGGGTGATATGTTTCGTGAAAAAATTTGCATGTACAGCACCGAGCATGGTAGGTTTACCCTAAGGAAATGACGATGTCGTGGAAATTGGATGTCGCGATAATTCCTTTCAATTATGTACTAAATTTTATATAATTTAATAATTCAAAGTTATGTTATTTTTTTTTTCTAAATCAATTTTAATATTAATATCGTGAAAATTGAGGTTCTGAGAACTGCTTCCCCTATAACGCCATTTTACCTAAAAAGACCTACTATGCTCGAGACTATACATACGTATAGTACATACATTCATTCGTATTGATGAATGATCTTTACATCATGCAATGTGTAACATCAAGTCCTTGCTACTCTAATGCTGAACTGTGTCCTTATATCAACAGTTCGTGTTATTAGCATTAGTTGATTAATGTTTGTTTAGATGTGTAATCGTTACGTGTGAAGCTGCGAATACAGTGGAAGTGTTTTCTGATTAACTAACATTCTGCCGAATATGTCATAACAAAGTGATTACATTGTGTACTAAACAACATTATAGATCTATTTGTCAGAAAATTCTTCTACTGAAAATTTTATTTCTAACACGTGTGATCTGAATGCACAACGCAAAAAATCTCACTATGTTGTATGTTTATGTTCGTGCTATGATTTAGGGAATAGAATTCTTTTCTTATAAATATTCCACAGTTATCCACGTTCTTTTGGTAAGTATACGTGTAAAATTGGCCATTGGAAAAAGAGTTGGAATTTTTGTTCGCATTTTCGATCATTTTGAAAAATAACATTAAACAGTCCACACCTGTCTTTTATAAAGATAATATTTTTGTAAATTTGTCCATCCATTGTGGAAGTTATTGTAATATGTTTGAAGTGGAATGTTATTGAACGAATTTTAAAACGTTTCTCATTGGAAGAATAATTTTCAAAGGAACAATGTATAATTTTGAAAATGAAAATGATATGGAATACAAAATTAAATTAAAGTTGGAGCTCTCTCCATGGTCCGCCGTCCAAGGGTTGAGATTTAAAAAATTGTTAAATAAATGATATTTATCATCCACACGATCACTGAAGGGTTAAACTAATGAATGTACGATTTTCAGTATAATCGTACTTCTATGAAAAACATAATTTTCAAGTTTCATAATTAGCTGCAAATATATTTAGGTGTATTTTCGAAAGAAGTAGTGAAAAATTGCCAGACGAAGCGATTCTCAAGAAGAACGACGGCAACGATGACGACGACAAGATTGTCGCTCGACTGACGCCTCGAGTACCGAGTCTCGTTGCCTGAGGCGGCAAACATTCGCGACATTCTCGACATCCATTGTCGGTACCGCCGACGACGACGTCCGGCGATGTGCACTCGACGACGCCGCTCACGTTCCTGATCGTCGTTCTTCCAGGACAACCGCTCTGGCGTAAAATTTCTGCGCGAGTGGAAAGCAAACGAGATATCCTTCCAAGGAGAAATTCAGATAGTAAGACTCGAAAGAAAAGCATCAATGTGGATGTCGTTAGATCACACCATCTTAATGCGTCACTGAGTATTATTCAACTTTCTAAGTGGATGGCCTAAGTGCTAACAAGTACCAATACCCTCTTCAAGATTAGTTGAAAAACTTAATACTTTTTATATTATTCATTTGTCTATGATTCCCATTTGAAAACCAAGTTATATGGAATTTGAAATTTTGAAACAAAAATTGATAAAAAATTCAGCTTAAAACAGTCATCATTAATGACTTGCAACATATTTTGTTATGGAATATTTTAAAGCATTCTACATATTGAAAAATTATTAATACAGTCAGACGTATAATATTAAAGGAGTCTATCTGATTTCATTCTACCTTTTGCAATAGAAATTGCATCTCATGGGTCTTCACCGTTAACCCTTCGCTGCAAGAGGGTGACTTCCTGTCATCGTGCACCAAACTATTGAAACCGGAACATAAATGAGTCAGACGAGTGGTGGAACGCTACTTTCCTCTGCAGTTTCCTTTGGCAAGGAAAAGCAGGCTTGCGCGTGGGTGTACTATCATTTTAAATGAATGCTTTGAAAGATACAGAAGGTCTTCCGTATCATAAGCTCCATAACAAAGCCTTTCAATCTTTCATAATATAAATCAGATATCTCTACCGTAAAATCTTTCAATTTTTAGTGGCTAATATGTATAATCATTTTTTATAAACCTTTTTGCATAATTTACATATCTTTATGTATTGTTAATAGAGCAGAGCATTTCTTTTTTAAAGATAAGGATATTGATGAATAATGGGATATAACTGTCTAACTTCTAAAATAATAATTAAAGGATATACGAAAGGTAGGAAGACATAAATGCACATGTCACTAGGATACGACCGACAATGAGAAGTAAGGAAGCGCACAAATGAAAGAGACAAAGTGGAAGTGACTTACTTACAGTCAGACGTCACGTGTCTGACGTGGAAAGGTATCACGTAGTGGTATACGTAAATTTTGTCTGTATGCATTACTCTGAAGTTGTTTTGAGTTAGTTCCAATCAGGAACGCATGAATATTAATATCTTGCCCTGTTTAATATTAAAATGGATGGAAATATTAATACTGAATTTTATGCGAAATTACGAAAAATTCGTTCCTGTTTATTGTTGCTATACAAGATGTAGCCGATGGTAGAATTAAAAAAAATTAAAGTTTTACATAAAAAATATAACGAAAACTATTATTCATGATTTTGTATTACTATTTGAAATAACCAAGCAATTTTTTCAATGAGGTTTTGAGATATCTTTGAAAGATATAACGTGATGACTACTTGTAAGATTTGCTACTATTTTTAAAGAAAACATACGTAATTTGCACTGTTCGCTAGTTACTATTATTACTGTTTAATTTCGTTTCAAGCTATTGAAATTTCACTTCTACCGTCCTCAATAGCTCGAGACGTGTCATAAAGTTAGGAATTTCCGAAGGGTAACAGAAACTAATTACAACGACGTTGAGAAACTAGCATTTCAAGCTTAAGAATCATAACTTGGAGGAAATTCTGTGCTACTAAATTTCTCTCTGCTGTAGCTACATACTAGATGAGGAATTACCAATATATGTTTAGCTCAAATTCATTGAACTGTTACAACTTTTAAATTACACTTGCATTGTTGAAAATTATTTCAAGAATTTATAACATTTAAAATTAGTGCTGTAAAATGAAAGTTGTAAAGAAGTTGGATAAAGTTAGAATTTAGTTAGATTGAGTGACTAATTAGTAGTGAAACTTAGTTACAAGTTAGGTAATTTTGAAGAATCAGGCTACCAAGTCAGACAATCAATTTCCATAGAATTAAAACTTTGTATTTGGACTAATGAAATCACTGATCTATGATGATCAGTTGAAATCCATGGTTACTGGGTGTTTAATTAATTAAAACACTTAAGTCTTGTTTAAACTTAAAAACAATGAACTTAGGAATATTACTTTTTAACATATGAAACTCTTGTATTACAAAATTTCAGCAACTAATTTTAGTACAAAAACAGTTTGCAATTTTAATTAGATATATTTATTGTATCTATGTTTCTTAAATATTTTTATTATAATTAATTTGTTCAGACGTCTATGTAAAATTTTAATTTGTAATGTAATATAATAGGCTTGATTCTACGTATATTTTATAGTAATTGGTTTGTAATTTGCATTTGATATACTGAGTAGAGACATTAAAATGTATTAACAGATCATATATCTGATACTGAATTTGATAGATTGATTTGAAACACAAGATGACTATTAATAACTGATACAATGATTACTATTTAGTACTACTAACAATAGCATTGATACTATTATAAATCCAATCAAATATTTTATGCTCTTTGCAAGCGTTTTGGATATCCTATTCCGTATCATATTGTTTATGACTGATATGACAAATATTTATATCTACAGATAGGTACTAATGAAAATTTAATACATACTACAGTAAAATGTCAATTATCTGAACTAATAGAAAGATAAATCAATTTGGTTAAATGGTTTGTAGCAAATTTACCAATGTGTCATAAAATGATTGAAAAGAAACAAGTTTCAAATATGAGTAAATGAAATAAATTTAAGAATTAAATTAATTATTCTTTTAGAATAAATATTTGTATTCCCTCTACCTTTTTTATTTTGCAAATAACGACCACAATTTACAAAAATTATACACATAACCTATACGTGCACTGACCTGTGACACACAGTGTTCGGCTACAAATGGATATCCTTGCAAGGGGTAGTAGCTGGAGTGATCTTGAACAACTTTCTTTTTCACTAAAATACTTGTTAAAGCTTAGTTTTTGAATTAAGAATAAAAAACACAATCAATCAGAGCACGCATGCTTAGCCGCGAATGTAACAGCTGGGAAAACCGCGCACGATCAAGGTCACGAACAAACTATGCGGCACGTAGGTTCGTAGCCGACACTCTTGTCACTGAGCATGCGCAGTATGCGCGCTCTGATTGGTTGTGTTTTTCATTA